ACGGCCGGTCCTCAGCCCTTCCGCTTTCTTTGTGCGTTCTGTTCAAAACCAAGTTGGGCTATTAAAGATGGAAGCGTTAGATGTGTGCCTTGAAAGTGTTTTTGCTTCTTTCGTAACTACTGTGTGAAAACAGAACGTAGAGTAACGTTACTCCAACATAAATCGGGAGAGATGAGTTGTGGCCAAAGAGGATATTTGATGACAGGCTCCTGTGCATTTCTTCTGCACTTGTAGCTCAGTTTTACTGCCTTTTGTCCCCTTATCAAAGTAAAGTTTTTGTGGAAATGTAGTGGCATCATCAGAAGCTGGAAATTTGCTTTTCAAAGCAAGGGAGGGAAGCTGTTGTTTCTGTGGGAGTAGGCAAGTATTTTTGAGGCCAAGGGCTGTACTTCAGTAATTCTCAGACATAACTCCTTGGCAAGTTTGTTGTATTTAAGGGGGCTATTTGATGATAAACATCAAGGAATGTCAGTGTCTTTTCTCTGCCTGTTGGTTGGGTAAGAAAGTAAGTTGACAGTGATTTGCCGTTTCCGTGCTGTAGGGTCTCAGTCAGCAGAGCTATCAAGCCTTTTGCAGAGCCAGGACGCCCACCTGACTGGTTTTCTCAGAAGGTAAGGTACCAGCATTTGAGTCTCAGGAAAAATGGGTTCTGTGTGCAATATGGAAGACAGCTGCCTAAGAAGATGTATTTCTTGGTTTAAAAAAAAAAGTAGCAAAATTTTTTTTTTTTTTAAAAGAGTTTTGTACAGATCAGTTTAAGTACTTTTTTTCTGTTTCCGAAACTAAATTTGAGCTTATAGTACAGCTGGATAAGGTTGAGGAATAGAGGATGATCAAAGACATGAAACAACTTCCTTGTAAAGGATGGCTAAGTAGGGTAGAACCCTTCAACATAGAAAAGAAGTGAGTAACAGGAGATACAACAGAATTCCGTATAAACGGAAGTGGCATGAACTTGAAGACTGAGTGTTAGTGCTTTGTCCAGCACAAGATTTAGAGGCTATCAAGTAAGACTAACAGGAGGCAGGCTCAAAGCAAACCTGAAGATACTTTTCTTCACCAGGCTTGTAATTAAGCTGTGGAATTGTTTTGTCCCAGGGATTTGTAGATGCCCACGTATTTTAGTGTGTCCCGCTGTTTGGGCAAGCGCCTGGGATTTTTGTTGTATAAGGGAGAGAGAGATTAAGAGAATCAAGAGGGTGGAAGTTGAGGAGATTTTGTTGCTTGTTATTTCTGTTAACCTGTGAAACTGGCCTTGATACAATGTTGTCTTCTCCATTGAAATATTTTCGGTTTGTGTTCACAAACGGAAACTTTATCCTGGAATCATTCTATGATTCTATTATTATGCTTATTTGCTTTGATTTCTGAGTCGTTTAGTGGGAGTGTCTGTTGTTTAGCTTTGTTTTGAAGATGAGCCTGGGCAGTGCTAGAGTAAAAGAGTGAATATGCTTCCGTGATTTGTGCTGCACTAAAATACAGCCGCGTGGGAGACTCTGGAGAAGGCTGTCAGATAAGTTCATCAAGTGTTAGACCTCTGAAGAAGTAGGAGTAGGTGTCCTGTATTCTTCGTTGATAAGCATTTGCTGATTGTTTGATGTCCTCTGACTTCCTTTGTTTCTTCTTAGCACTGTGCATCTCAGTATTCAGAGCTCTTGGAGACTACAGAGACCCCTAAGTGAGTATGAAGCCTGACACAAGTGGACTTGCTGGTTCCTAAAGCAAAGGGCTTGATAGTTCTCCTCCCAAAAGGAGCACAAAGGAATGAGAAGATTTAGTTGTGATAGCTGGCATGGGTGGACAGCGGGGTCAGGGTATGGAAAGCGTAGAGCATACTTCCTGTATCTTCTTATCTTGTCTCCTTTTTTCACAAGTCCAAAGTATTTCAGTATTACCTGGTTCTAAAACTGGTCACTGTGTGCCTGCTGGCGTCTTCTTTATGCCCCTCCAGGCAGAGTAATTGGAGCCTTTTTGGTGCAGCAAAAGGAAACATTTGGCTTGAATAAACACTACTTATTAGTCTTATTGATCAGAAGCTTTACACATAAAATTATCATTCAGAGTAAGGATAAAAAAGACAGAGTGAGAAGAGTAAATGTTTTATGTTTGTCTCTATTTTGCAGTGGTTTCCTAGTGGTTTCTTATCAGTGCTGTCATGGCAACTCAGACACTTCTCACTTCTAAATCCAGGCATTTTGTTTTGAGTCTTCACGTCAAATCAAATTAGAGGCAGGATGTTTTAAAGTAGTATTTGTTTGTAACAATGCTATAGTATTTGTTTGTGACTGTGCTGAATTATCTTCAGTGCTAGAGTTGCAAAGGTAGAGTTATTGAGGGGGAAAAAAGGATATTTTTTTGTGGATAGTAAGAATCTTCTCTGAAGTTGAATGACTGATTTTTTTCAGGTTGAGAATTTGCAGTGGGCTTGCATCTTTGGTCTATTCCTGAACACTGGATGCATTTAAGAATTAGATAAACTTTTCAGAAGAGATAAACTTTTCAGAAGAGATTGTTTGAACATTGTGCTATCCGATATAATTTAAGAGAAATTGAAAGAGGAGGTTTATTTTGTTGTTGTTGTTATGTTTGTGTCAAGAGTTGCAGACAGCAGCCATTTATGAAAGGAGAACTGGGGTTTCCTCAGTCATATCTGAACTGTCTTGGTGTTCTCTTATTCTATAGGAGAAAACGTGGTGAGAAGGGAGAGGTTGTGGAAACTGTGGAAGATGTTATTGTGCGAAAACTGACTGCAGAACGAGTTGAGGAGTTGAAGAAAATTATCAAAGAAACACAGGAGAAATACAGGTATGTGGCAGAGGCATTAAGCTGTGGTGCACCTGACAGTTCTGTCATTAAAAAAAAGTGGCTGAAGTGGGATGGTGCTTGCGGTGAAAATGCTGCTTGGGCTTATTGTTAGTAATAAGTAAGAAAGATTTTCTGCTTACAGGCAACTCAAGAAAGATGCAGAGCTGATCCAGGCCGGACACATGGATAACAGACTGGAGGAGCTGTGCAATGAGATCATGATGTGGGTTACTGAATTATTTCCATGCTAAGCTTGCCTCTGTGATTGTAGTTGCCTCACTTTGTGTGTTTGTCAGGTACCTCTTGCCCCATGCACATTGTGTTAAGAGAAACAGGGCAGCTGGCCAGATGCTTTGGCCTCTGAGGCTGGATTTAGGTTAGGCTGGGTGCGCCAGCTTGTGTTGAACATCTGTTGGAGTTTCTTAGTAAAGAGTTTGGTGATGGCTTACAGCATCATGCTTTGCCTCCTCCATTGTGATAATCAGCTGGAATTGAAATTTCCTGTCAAGTGTGTTGTTCTCTGGCCTCCAACTCTTAACACTCCTCAGAGGAAGTGTGCCTGAGACTGCAGAGGCAGGTCTGGAGATAATGGGGTGGGGGTCAGTAAGCTGCAGGAGGAAGTAAGGGAAAGCGGGACACTGTGTGACAGAAGGTTTTGATTCTATACACAGAAAGAAAAAAATGGAGGAGGAGGAGGCAGAAGTCAAGAGGAAGGCTACAGATGCTGCTTATCAGGGTAAGCTGAAAATGAGTGTCCTGACTCTTGCTCAGAGATGCATATGCTCATAAGAACATTTTTGAAATACTGAAGTCTTGTTAAGATCTATTCAGGAGAAATTCCTTGACCCTAGGAGTTGAAAAGAAAGCTTAAATTCTCTTTCTTGCACTGTTATTTATAACAGGGCAAAATGCAGAGACTTCTGAGAAGGGAAAATATTCTTTAGAAAAGGTGTGTCTTAAGAGGAAGCAGAGTTATTGAGGAACTCTCTTAGAATGTTGGGCTTTTTACCCCTTTAGTTTTCCCTATAGTTTTACTATTGCTTGAAGATGAAGAGAGATTTTTTTTTTCTGAATGTTTAATTCATTTATAATTCTTGGAGCAATTCAGTGAAGTAACCTGCCAGTGGTAGAAGGTGGTGAATACCCAACTACTACAGAAATCTGAAATTAAAGTGCATTACCCAGTGCTGGTGTTACTTTTGAACTGAGCCTAGTGTGGTACAAGAACATTCCTACAGCATAAAGTGTTTTCTTGAGTTTCTTTAGGATAAAGAAGTAGCTGTCAGGGACTGTCCAAGATGGAGTTATGGAATCTTCACTTTTTTTTTTCCTTTCCTGTTCCTTTGCAGCTCGTCAGGCCATTAAGAACCCGCCACGACGATTAACGGGTGTGATGGTTCGCTCCCCTGCTGGCTCAACCTCCCCAGGGGGAGACTATGCTCTGGGAGACCTGTCTCAGCCTGCTGTGGACGAGGCCAGTCCAGGGGTAAGGATCTTTCTTGTAGGATAAGAGGGAAAAAACAGCTGGAACATGGGGCTTCTAGTCGTGGTGGAATAGGAGCCTGGGGAGAAGCCCTTGCCTTGTTTTGCAGACTTCCCGCTGTGGTAGTGCTGTAGTGTGGTTGATGCTGCTCGAGATACGTGTCCTCGTCCGTATCTGTGGTGATCCGGTGCCTGGGTCAGAGGCTGTGTAGGGGTGTTAGTGGGTTGGCCACTACAGGGCAGGGAAAGGGTGAAAGCATGTGCCTGGAGTAGGGGTAGCGAGTGACTGGAGTCGGTGTCTGTGTTGTGCCAGATCAGTGCTCTTGGGGGAAGGAGCAAGTGGGGCTAGTCCGTGTGGCTTTGAACAGTGTGGTTTTTCTCTTTCTCAGGTCACTCCAGGGACATTGCCCAGCACCCCAGTTGCCTCCTTCATTGGAATCCCTGACACCCCTCCAGGCTCTGCTCCCCTGGATGCCCCCATGACCCCAGTCACTGATGATTCACCCCAGAAAAAGATGCTAGGACAAAAAGCAACTCCGCCTCCTTCCCCTCTGCTCTCAGAGCTGCTGAAGAAGGGCAGTCTCCTGCCCACAAGCCCCAGGCTGGTATGGAGCTCTCTGCTCATATATGCAAGCATACAAACAGTTTGCTCCAGGCTCTCTCTGTGAAAAAGGGGGAGCTGCAAAGGCTTTTAAAAAGTGTAGTTTTTTTGTGAGAGTCCTGAAAGAAGTGATAATATGAGAGATACAGTTACTGCTGTGAGCTGCAGAGGTGAGACCTGTTCCCGGCAGTTCTGTGGGTGCAGGACTGCAGGGGTCATTCAGCACATAGGACTGGCTGTCTCCCCTCAGGCGAAAGGCATTGGCGGTGCACGTTTTGCTAGAGGAAGTCATTCTCCCTGGGGTGGGAGCATATTAGCATGGTTCCGGTCAGCCTCTTTGGAGGTGTTCTTGATGTTTTCTACTTTGGGCTCACAGTTCTTCACATCTTGGCAGGAAGTTGAGTTTCAGTATTCCTTATCATAGGAATGGAGAGTCCTTTAATGGGTTTGATAGCCAATATTGAAGTGGTTCAGTTTTCTCTTAATTGTAGACAGTTACTAAAATCACTGTGATGACAACCCACTTCTGGTGGTGATGGATCTGGAAGCCTTGGGAGGGTGAACATTGCTGACACTGTTCACAGCCCGGTCTGAAAACAGCAGCCATCGGCCTGCCCGTCACAGTGATTCCCAGCGCTAGTGTTCATACGATGGAATAGGTCTATTGCTGTTGACTTTCTGTTTTTAAGTTTGGAGTCTTCTCTGTTTGTTAGCTTGGGTAAATATACCATGGGTTCTATGTTTGCAGGGTGCAGTGTGACATAGGAGCAAGAAAAGGCTGTGGAAGACTGAGTTTTCTTTGTTTCAACAGAACTGGTTTACATCTGCTTCAAGGACCATCATAGGTTTCCTATGTGACCTTGACAGAATTACCTTCCAGCTTAGTGCTGCATTTTCCCACAACTCAAAATAGGGGATGATTGTCATCTCAGTGGGTAGAGAGACTGGCATCTGTAAAGGATTGTGAGGTTCTTAAGCAGAGGAACTGAGGTAGAGCAGATGATGTATTTGGCCTAGCTTTAAAGGAAGGTGGCACTGCAGCTCTGTTGTAGCTGAAGAATGACAGCTAGTTTCAGACTGTCATGTTGTGCACTTGGTAAAGGGCCTTAGACAGGAACTAGACTGGACAAAATCTGCAGGAGAAGTGCTGAGACAGCAAATGATGGACATATTCGTGGAGGTGCAGTATCTGGCAGAGAGTCACTTACATGATGGTATCTCCAGGAACTTCAGCTGTGTCCTCCTTTGGCAGGTTGGTGAAAACGAAATGGCAGTGGCTTCTGGTCACATGAACAGCTCAGGAGTCCTGCTGGAGGTAGGAAGCGTCCTTCCAGTGCTGCACAGCGGGGAAATGCAGTCGACACCTGGTGCTGTCCCTGCATCTCCTGCTGCCTCAGGTAACTCGGAACTCTCCCTGTACACTTCTGCCTTCAGATGTACCTTCAGACTGTTGCATGAATTCTCCTTGGAGAAAGGTGAAGGACATCTAGCCTTACTGGTTTGGGAGCTTCTTGGGAGTTCTGTTCCTGTTTCTGTACCCCTGACGCTCTCACCCCTACTTTTTTTTAAGAAGATCCTAATCCTTATAGGAAAAAAAAAAAGTCTTGATTTGAAATGATTTAAAATAAGACCTGGTCCCTGCAGTCTAGTTTTCTGATTTGACACTGGCTAACACCAGGTATTTCAGTGTAGAAAGAAATGGTTAGTTGACAGGGAATTGGGTTAAAAATGGTCTAGTATATGATGCCCAGTGTGTCAAACTGCACCTTCTGATCTGGAGAACTGGTGTGCCTTAGCTTAGAGAGCTGTGGAGGATTAGACCACAGTGAACTGTAAACTCCAGAGTTCGACAGAGCAGAGGTGAGGAGGACGGTGCAAAAGGCTTTGCATTGGGCCTTTTCAGAAAAACCTGCCTAAAATTTTCTTCTGAACTCATGCTGAGCAGCAGTTTAGTCACATTGTGTGCAACTGAGGATTTGTGCCATTCATTCATATATAATTCCATAATAAAACTTACAGTTTCCTTATCCACATCTGTTCCTGAAGACCTATTAATTTGATCCAGACAGTTCAGTAAATTCAGACTGGAAGTTACAGCTGAGTGTTAACCTTTGCCATAAGAGGAATTCTCCAGAAAAGACCTGGAAAGAGATCCCCTCTGCTCCCTTCCAACTCCTGTGATGACTGTTTTGCCCGGCTTACCTTGTGTGGCTCGCTCAGCACTGTTTTTCAGATTTTCTGTAGTTGTGGTGGGATGAGCCTTTGGAAGGGCATCTCTCTGCCCGTGTGGCTTAGCCTGTCCAGCCCTGAGGTTGGACACGGTGTCCCATAGTCAGTATTATTCTAACTTGGGCTGCACACACAAAGGAGTCGTGCGTTGTTGGTGCCGGTTCTCCGTATACCTTTTGGGACTGTTTATGGGTAGCTCTCAGTATCTTTTCTCAGAAGAAGCCACCTGAGGGCAAAGAGCCCAGTGGTGGCTTTGTGGACTTCAGTGGTGGCTGCTTCTTGCTCACGTGCTTTTTCCTTCTACTCTCTGTTAGGTGCTCCTACGCTTTCCCGGCTTTTAGAAGCTGGTCCTGCACAGTTCACCTCACCTCTTGCTTCCTTCTCCGCTGTTGCCAGCGAACCTCCAGCTAAGCTCCTGCCACCCCCCGTAGAGACTGTGTCTCAGGCAACCATTGTCATGATGCCCACGCTGTCAGCACCGTCCGTTGTGCCACCAGCTGCAGCTCCAGAAAGCATAGCCACAGGTGCGTCCCAGAACTATGCACTGCTGGAAAATGGAACTTCCTTTGGGATCAGCACCCAGCCAGCTCTCAGCTGGCCTTTTATCACCGCAGACTTGCCATCCTTCCTGAAAGGGTGGTTACGTCTGGGTTCTGGAGTAAACAGATGGTTTTTAAAAGGATTTGCTGGGTGGGGGTGGGGCTTCTGATGGTGTGTTGCTGGTTTGTGGTTCAGGGGCTGGAATCTCAGGGGCTTTGTTTCTGCTGTGGGAAAGCGAACCTCTATTTGTCTTTAATTTTTCTAAGCCTTGCTGTTGTGGGTGGCCCTGGGATACTTGTGGTTGGTGCTTGATCTTATCCACTGCAGTATTTGTTTCTGTGGGCTTGTCCTCTCTGGATTGGTCTCTGATTGTCACTCTCACCCTTGTGCAGTGAGCCAGCCAGAAGCCTGTGTTGCCATGGAGGCGGTGTCTGATTCCCATACCGTGACAGTGTCCATGGACAGCAGTGAAATATCCATGATCATTGATTCCATCAAGAAAGAGTGCCTGGGTTCTGGGGCTGGCAGCGCTGCAGGGTCTTCCAAAGATCACTGCATGGATGGGAAAGAAGACCTGGATTTGGCTGAGAAAATGGATATTGCAGTGTCCTATACAGGGGAAGAGCTGGACTTCGATACTGTTGGAAATATTATAGCCATCATTGAGGACAAGGTAAACGGGCAAAGCAGAGTGCCAGTGCCTTTTGCCCCACATCCAGTTAGGTTAATCTCAAGTGATAACTGCTCACCAATGTAGTTAGTTTAAACAAGCAAGAATTATTTAGTTTAAACAAGCAAGAATGCTTATTCTCACCATCGTTGTCCAGATCAATGGGAAATGACCCTATGACGCCACTGCTACTAGTCTGCCACATTTAGCCTGGTGCTCCTCTTCAGAGTGCAGAAAGGAGTCTCTTTCTTCCTCGTGATGGGTAGGGTTTGGGTCACGTCTCTGGCAGATAAATGAGCACTGCTTGCAGCTTACATTCCAGGAGTGCTGTGTTTCTGAAACTGAAGCTCCACGGGAGACTCCACAGGGAGTGATATGAGTCTGGCCACAGAAGGCAACCTTGTAAACCCAGTACACTGGGTTTTCCACAGTTGTCTCATTACCACATAACATGAACTTTTTCTTAATGCCTATTTCTGATCTTGGCCTGCACTGCTGTCTGTTTGTTTTGGCAATAAAGGTAGACGACCACCCGGAAGTCCTGGATGCAGCAGTTGTTGAAGCTGCTCTATCTTCTTTCTGTGAAGATACTGATGACCCTCAGACCTTGCCTGGCCCATGGGAACACTCAATTCATCAGGAGCATGAGAAACAGGCCCAGATATCCCAAGTGTCTGTAACTGTGAAGCAGGAGAGACTGGAATGTGAGGAGCCAGAGGCAAAGGGAATTCAAGACCTAATGGGCATTGGCGAGCTGGGATCAGAAATAAAGACAGAACCTACAGAGCAGGAGCCGAATCAGAATCAGCTGGGCCCTGAAGAAACCATACCAGCAACTGCAAGAGTGACAGAAACACCAGAGCTTAGAAGTCAAGAGATAGAAGAGGATCAAAGAGCAGCTGTAGCAGCAGGAGAGACTTCTGAAATCGAGATAGAGTCATCCAAGGGAGAAGACACAGTTCACAATACAGTGAAGACAGAGGTATGTCAGCAGAGAGGCTGGCTGGAACTGGTGTGGGGAAAGAAAGGAGCAGTTGTGGCAGATAGGAGAGAAGTTTAGAGGAAGGATGATTGCTGGATTGAAGGTGACCCTTCAGTGAATGTGACTGACTGGTTTTGTGGGAGTCGTGCTGCTGATCTGCTCGATCTGCAGAGAAGCTCTGCATTAGGCAGTACCTTTGTGTATCTCCCCCCGCCTACATGCAGAGTTGCTGTTGGGAAGGTGCTCAGTGAACTTCTTTGCCTTGAGTTAGGTTAGTGTGAGTGAGATGTGCCCACACCTTCACTGAAGTAAGCTGACACAAACATCTAGATTTGTGCATTTCTCTTCCCTCCAGACCCCACCTGATGATGATTCATCCCCTCCACAAGTCCCAAATGTGAGTGAAGACTCCTCACAGGCTGATGTTCAGCACAAATTTGAGCTGTCAGGTAACTTAATTCAGCTAGGAAATCTTTTACATGCAACATTATTAGCTGGATAGTTGTCAGTGATCTGGTTCAGGTTTTTTGGGGAGGAGGGAGAAAAGATACGTGTAGGAACAGTGGTGATTGCTGCAGGACAGTAGGCATCGGTGCAGGAGCTTTTGTAGGAAAGACTGCTTTGGAGAATCAACCTTTCTGCTTTTCTTTCTTTCACAGAGTCAATGAAGGAGGAGGCCCAAGCCCTGTTTAGAAGTCAGATGAAGGTAAATCTCAACTAGTTTTAGTCACCTTGAGTTTATTAGTAATATCTCACTGCTGCTGCTTCCTGGTTCCCATCTGCTGAGAAGCAAAGCTTGCGTTCAGCTTTCTGCACTGAGGAGTAGGCAGTCTGCAGTTGGAGCTGGAGGGAGATGGCTTCAGGCACATAAAGCTCAGTGTGTCTGTGTGTTTCTGTGTCATCAGGGGGAGGCAGGGCAGGATACAGTGATTAAGATTTTGTGAAAATTCCTGTACAGTTGTCAGCAGCACAGCAAGAAAATCACTTTGCTGAACTGTAGTTGCTTTGGAGGCTGCTGTAGCTGGCTGTGCAGACTCATGAACTCTGTGTTTCAGGATGGGCAGGGTGAAGAGGATGATGAGGATGGTGCCAGTGAGGCTGCCAGTTTGGAGGAACCCAAAGAAGAAGATCAGGGTGAAGGATATCTATCAGAGATGGATAACGAACCCCCCGTGAGTGAAAGCGACGATGGCTTCAGTGTCCATAATGCACCGTTACAGTCTCACACGCTCGCCGACTCCATCCCCAGCAGCCCGGCCTCCTCGCAGTTGTGAGTATCGGTGAAGTGCTCGAGCGCGCAGGCGCTAATCTCACACTCTTTTGTGAAGGGAACATAGGATTCTCATTTCGGTTTCGGTGACTGGCTGGATCCAAAGGGGGGAACTTGACAATTTGGCCGGTTTTTGCTTACAAGCACAAGTGTACAGACAGTGCTGTAGTACCAGGCCTTGTGTTTTTCTTTCTGCCTTCACCATGCAAAGGCAAAATAAACCTTAAGGCTTCTGGTCTGGGGCAGTGTGCGTAGACTCCTGAAGGAAGTCCTGTTCTTTTCTTCCCAGCTCAGTGTGCAGTGAGGACCAGGAAGCAATACAGGCCCAGAAGATCTGGAAGAAAGCCATCATGCTAGTTTGGAGAGCAGCAGCTAATCACAGGTGAGTTTGATGTCTCGAGAACTGTCTAGAAAGAAGTGACTACTCCTAGACAAGTCTCCCCTCTCCCATCTCGGAGGCTTACCTCCTTTGGTACCAAGAGACGACGAATCATATTGTTACTGGTAGCAGACAAATAAACATGAGAGTATGAAACAAATATCTACCAGCAAGGATGAGGCACTAAGTGGACTCCTCTCTGCAGGTACGCCAACGTCTTTCTACAGCCTGTAACAGATGATATAGCACCAGGCTATCACAGTATTGTGCAGAGGTAAGTCTCGGCATCTTCCGTCATTAGAACTTGATATTTTGTGTAGGGATTTCTGGTGGGAATGATGCAGTTTTTGCTACCATGCAGACTGCAAGACTTGGAAATTTATTGATTTTTTCAGTCAGAAACTGGGTTTCCCCCCCCAAAAAAGGGTTATCCTCAGTAACAGATACATGTTTTTGTGCCACCTTGCCTTTCTATGAAGTACACTGACTTACACAGAACACTTTTTATCAGTAAGATGGTATGTGACTAATCTGCTTCTCTCAGTTTCTGTCCAAGGCTGGGATTTAATCTTTGAAGTTCCAAAACCTATCTTCTTTAATCAGTGGGTTTTTTACTGTCCCAGATAGTGTACTCTTCAGGGAGAATTACCACAATCCCCTGCTAGCCTCCAAAATCTCTTCTAAACAGTTAGTGACTGCAGCTCTCTCCGTTTAGTGTCTCTTGCAGTGATGCCTGGAGAAGGCAAATGCCTCTCCTGAGGCATCTGTCATGCTGTTGTTACCATTCGTGGTAACTGCTAGACAGCTTCTGTCTTCTGACCCAAGGCCTTGGTACTCAGGAACACAGCCTGTGTATGGGAGAACCTATTTGGCTAAATTAAATAGATGGCCTGACTAGAAAAGTTAGACCCCAGGCTGTTTTTAAAGGAGTGGGGAAATAGTAAAGTATTTCTGTTGCTATTTTGATGTGTGTTGTATTTCTTTCGTAGGCCAATGGATTTATCTACCATCAAAAAGAACATTGAGAATGGGCTGATACGAACCACGGCTGAGTTCCAGCGTGATATAATGCTGATGTTTCAAAATGCAGTTATGTACAACAGCTCTGACCACGATGTGTACCACATGGCTGTGGAGATGCAGCGAGATGTCCTAGAGCAGATCCAGGTAAAGTACTGAGCTGAGGCCGGTGCAGGACAGAGCATCTGCCTTGGTCCGTAAGTACGGGAAAGACTTCAGGAGTTTCACTCGCATTGTCTTTGAACAAAGCATCTTTCCCTGCATCTCTCTTGTGCTAGCTCAGGTGTTTGTGGTGAACTGGATTGTGGCTTAAGTTATAACCAACGCAGCAAAATGTTTTATAGGTTCAACCCAGACCAATTTCAAATCTAATTTCCTTCAGGGAAGTGCTTAGGCTAGCAGGAACCAGGGTGTGGTGCAGGAGCAGAAACAAGCAACAAGAATAGTGAATGACAGGAGACGCGATTGCTTCCTTTGGTGGCTGTGCCAGTTTATGCTGGTCTGAAGCATACATGAAACTGAATACATGCAATTTAAAATTTATGGTGAAGTAGAGTGTCCCAGCTGGCAGGGCTAATAGAGTCTGAACTGGGGTTTTACAGTTCCTCAGGACTTGTGGCTTCTGAGGTAAATGAGGGAACTTACTGTGCGTAGCTGACAAGGAACTGAAACTGCCTCTGACCCAGTCATTCCCAGCCTGTGGTTTGTGCTAGTTAACTGACACACACTAACTGAACTTGTTTTGCCTGAGAATCTGAAGAGAGCGTGGTTTTCTTGCAGCAATTTCTGGCCACACAATTGATCATGCAAACATCGGAGTCAGGGATCAGTGCAAAGAGCCTGCGAGGTCGAGACTCCACTCGCAAGCAAGATGCTTCAGAGAAGGTGAGAATTTTGCACCCTGTGGAAGGGCACTTTGTCTTAAGAAGACTCACAAGATTCTGTAGGAAGTTCACATACCAAAGAGGCAGAATGTTTTTTGAGATTGCAGTGATTCCAGCATCTTCATGGGAACAAATTTTTCTTTGATTGTGTCTGTTGATTAGGTTTCAGCTCTGGAGCTGCATGTCATGCCAGAAACAGGTCTCACGAATTTGTTCTGTAATCCAAATGGTTCTATTCCCTGTTTTTAAAAACAGGTGATGAAAACTGTAGGGAGTATTGGAAGAGGCATGATACAGCAGGAAGGTGAAGGTGTAGAGAATTGAAGGACTAGGCTCTGCCGTGTCCTTCACTTCCTAGTCAGATTTTTAGGAGGGAGTTGCTCTGATCTGGTTCGCTGTGTAAAACACAACAGTGAACCTGAGTTCTGCACTGGCCTAAGCTAATAGGAATATAGGTTGGTTTGGGTTTTTTCCCTTCTGTAAAGACACATTCAAACCTGATTAAATGATCTCAAGAGCTCTCAGCTAGTGCACACAACATCATGACGGCAAGGACTGTGTGATTAGTTCTAGTGGCAACTGCACAGTGCAGAAATTGTTTGGTAGACTAGGCCTTGCCGTGGCTGAGGAGGGTATATCCCTTTCCTAGCATTCTGACTCTCGCAGCATCCCTCTTTTGTCCGTTTTTATGTTCCTGCTGCACAAGACTGATGCCATGTGGGAAGGGGAGTGGGGCACATGTTTCTCTGTGCTCATGTGTGGGCTCAGTGCTTCTATGTGGTGTGTGCATTTCCGTATCTGACATCTGATAAGTCCTTCTGTTTGGCCTTTTAACAGGACAGTGTCCCAATGGGCTCTCCTGCCTTCCTTCTCTCTCTCTTTGTAAGTATTGAAAGGCTCCAGCAGGTACTGCAGTACTGCTGGCAGTGTGCTCTGCTCCTTGTCTGGGTGATCACTGCACTGTCACAGCATCCTTAGCATTGCAGCCGTGTTTGCTTAACTTAGGGGCTGTACAACTGTGATCGTTAGAGAAGAAACATCTCAGTCCTTTATTCTCAGCGTGGGTGAGTGGGAGGGGCGTCAGTCTTTTCTTCTGATTCCAAGTGTTCTCATTTTGTCATCTGCCTTTGCTTTTTTCCACAACTTCTCTCCTGCTTCCTTTCCATGCAAGTGGGAAGACAGACCAAGTGGTGCAGGACCAGAGTTCCCACATCTCTCATGCTCGTACAGCTGTCCCTTCCGCGCTGTTTGAGACAGTACAAAAGGTCTTGGGAAAGTGAGGAGTCAGCTGCGTACTCCTGTATCGTTCATGGGCCAGAAAGCAAATAAGATACTCTTCAGATTTATCTTGCTCTGTGCCTGTGGTGATCTGGAAGTGTTTGGAAAAATATTCTCTCTGGGAAACCCCAAGTCTCTGAGTTGTGAGGAGGAGAGAGGGGAGGAAGATGGAGAGTTGTTTTTTTCTCTCGCATATATCTAAAGACAGAGGAGTACTCCGGGAGAGTCAGCATGTCAGCCAGAGGGAAAGGGCAGCGGATCAGAGGAAGCTCTCAGCTCACCTTCTACTGATGGAAAGGAGTTGTGCGGAGAAACTAGGGAGCTAGTGCCAGGGTCACTCACCTGGAGGAGCACTTCTCATAGGGATCAGCAGCTGATAAGGTAGGTTAGTCAGCAGTTTCCTCTTCTCATCCTAAGAGCCAAGCTAGAACCTGCCGCTTAGGAGAAAGCCTGCACTGTACAGGCTCCAAAAGCATCTGTCTGGGGGAGAGCCTTGCTGCCTCTCTCTGCCCTGGCTGCCAGCAGTGTGCAGAGATTGGTGCAAACCCAGCACCTGTGCTGTGTTCAGAGTGAATTTTAGGTAGGTCTGCAGGCAGGCCTTCTTAGGACAGCTTCCCTGTTTGGAAGGCATGAAAAACTGTTACCAGATGCACAATTCCTTACCTCCCCGAGTGCTGGAGGAAGCGTTCTGTGTTTAGGGTTGCATAACTGTCTTTTGTTTGCTTTGTCTCTAGGACGGAGGCACCAGAGGGCGTCGCTGCGCCATCGAGGCGGACATGAAGATGAAGAAATGATGCTGCAGGCAGACGGAAAATCCCAGCACCCGGCACCCAGAGCTGAAGTGCAAGCAAGATGCTAGTAGCAGCTGGTGGAGGAGGAAGAGAAGCTGCAGGTCCGTTTCTGGGACCTGGTCCACCTTCTTGGATTGCCCCGCTGGAAAGCAACGTCTCGTCAAGATTGTGTAACCCAAAGAAACTTCCTAGAGGGGAGGACTAGCCCCCTGCCTGTTTTAGGGCAGTCGTCTTGGGCTTCATCAGTGTTCTGGTGTTAGCTAGCAACTGGTGGCTCGTATGTACTGTAATGTGAAGTGTACAGATTTTTACTAGTGATGTGTAAATGTATATGTATATTAAAGTTGGAGAACAAATACAGTGTGCAGTGTCCTGAGCATCGCACCTCTCTGCCACGAGGAACCCTGTTTTCATATAAGCGTGCATATCTGTCTTGAATATCTGTAGATACAGCTCTCTTCCAGCTACCTATACAGCACCCAAGCATGGCACAGCTGTGACATTATAGAGACAATCTCTTAATCATGGGAATGCTGCACAGTGCTTGGCTGGAGGGGTAAATTCCCTGCCTGAGTGTGTGAGAATATGGCACTGTTGTGGTGGAGAAAGGAGATCTAACCATGAGAAGACAAAAACTACAGTCTTCTTGGAGCTTTCCTTAGAAGACCAATATATTGAAATGTACCTTAAATTCTTTCCCCAGAGATTTGTAAAGGGTACACTAGTCAGTGAAAATCTGCAATTCCAGCAGCTGTAGGCATGCCCATACCTGCTGGTTTTACATTTACATCTGAGCTTGTGAACTGTTCCTCTCTACTGGAAATTACTAGTTCTTTTCCTCAGCAACACTGATGCTGAACTGAGGTTTATTTTCTCTGTGACAATTTGCAAGTTGCCTTATTTTCTGCTCATATGACCTGTGAGGTGAAACTCGCATATTTTCTGCTTCCACGACCTTCCGGGGGAAAAAATAAAAAAACAAACGTTATCCTTCCTGGTGCTTGCAGCAGCTGGGAGTGGTCTACGCTCTGCACCACGTAGAGGGTGCAGCTTTCTGGCACACAGGGTGCAGGAAACTGAGTCACTGCGATTAAGACTGGAGGGATCAGTACCTTGCCTAGGAAGAGCTTTTGGTTTTCACAAACTTTGTACTTAAATTGATTGTGCCAGCTGTATTGAGGTGATACTCAAGGTCAGGTTGGACAGGGCTCTGAGCAACCTGATCTAGTTGAAGATGTTCCTGCTCATTGCAGGGCACTAGATGACCTTTAAAGGTTCCTTCCAACAAAAAGCATTCTGTGGTTCTAAGTTGGAAAGGAGCTCTGCGCATTTATATAGTCCAAGCAGGACCAACGTCAAAGGAGACTGGGTTGCTCGGAGCCCTGTTTAGTCAAGTTTCAAAAATCTCCCAAGGGTGGAAATTCTTTAACCCCTCTGTACAATTTGTTTCAGTGCTTACCCACCCTCAAAAAAACTTTCCTTTGGTGCAGCTTGTCAGCACTGCCTCCTCTCCTTTTGCTGTTGGCCACTGAAAAGAGTCTGGCTCCATGTCCTCTGTAACACCTCTGCCCTGTCTTTGTCCCTGTTGAAAAACTGAAGTTGGCAGCCCGCGGGAGGACATTTATCATGCCCACTAGCAGCTTGCTTTCATTATGGAAAGCATTGGAGTTCGTTCCTACCCTTGGTTTCTTCTCTTAACCAGGTGTTTTTCTCTCAAGGAGCCTTTTCTCTTGTTCCATGACATTTTAATAGCCTTTAATGATGTTTAAAATCTTTAAAAAAATCTTAAGATATGATTTTCTCTACAGAGCCCTGCTGCCTCTTTCCCAATTCATCCTCTCATGCTCTGACTGCTAATTCTGTTCTTCCTAATACTTTGTTCTAATCTGTCTAGTGCAGAGCTCAGGCTTACTGTGCTGCATCTCCCAACACCCACCCTTTTACAGACGGATAATAACAATCTTTCTGTTTCTCTTGCGCTGTAGCTAGTGTAAATGACAGGTTACATGGCATAGGTTTGGTCATGTTAAATTTAAGCTTCTTTAGGACTCACGAGTGAATCCCAACCGGTTCTAAGGTTTACTCCCTCCTTCAAATTGTTCTAAAACCTCTCCTGTTGACATTTTAATTAGAAATAGTCTCTCAGACCCATCCCAAGAGAAAGTCTTGCGTATTCTCCTCTGTGGCAACTGCTGATAATGATGATTAATTTGGTTTCTCCAGCTGGCCCTATTTTCCGATGAGATGTTTGGTAGTGATCATGCGTCATCCCCACTGATCATCTGGCAGCTCTCTGCTTCTGATGTTTTTGATGAGATTTGTTGTTGTTATTTGCTTTTATGCCTTTAGCAAATTCTTCTTCAATTTTTTTGGACTACTTTTAGTGGACTCTACATTCCATTTACTAGAGTTCAGGCTTTTATCATTTTTCTTGTTTTGACATGCAAGTTCATTTTAGAGACCGTCTTTTTTATTTCTAACAGTTTTTTCTCATATTGGTGAGGGTTTCACAGTGTCTGATCTCTGCAGAGCAAACTAAACCTTTCCAATTTGCTAATGGTTCTTTGCTGGTGACTTATGTAGCCAACATAAGAAGAACTGTCAGGCAGTTCTTAACTAAAAGTTGAAGTCAGTATCATTTTGTCCCTCATTTTTTGTACAGAATTGGTATGGAACTAAGCAGTCTGTAATTATTTCAGTCATCCTGCTTGTCTCGCACTAATGCTGCTGTTCTGCTCTCTGGCATCTTGAATCTTCCAAGATTTAATAAAACTGAACATAAGGCCGAAGATCATTTTAATTGATGCTTATGCCCAAGTTCCCTAGGCTTCCTGATTTTCAAGTGCTTATCCCTCTCCACTGGAGCACAGAAAAATGATCACAAGTGATTGGATTACCCCAGGCTAAGGCTTTTCTGTGCTTCAGCTGAGCTGCGGCGGCTGGTTCTGCTGCTGGTGCAGGAAGGCGCTTTAGGCACAGGGTTGTTCTTCAGATGAAATCACAGTTTGCCCAGCTCTCAGCTGGCAGCTGAGAGCAGGTAGTGTCATCTCTGACCTCATCAAATTTTGTCTGCTTCTGCTGAGGTTAACTTTGAAGGCCATTTCAGGAAGACAGCCTTTCAGATCCTATTTCTGCTTGTACCTTCATGAATTGAGCGGTTTTCTCATCCCAAACCCAATGGATCCCTTATTTCTCCCATTTATGCACCGTAAGCTGTATTTGTAGCCGTACTAGCAGTCCTCAGAGTGCAAAAGGAAGTCAGTGAGGAATGTGCTTGTTCAAAACTCTGGGAAAATTAGGTTGTACATAATTAACTGAAAACTCTTAAAGACGGCTAATTAATGCATAGAATTCTCCATAGGTATGGCATCCGGGCAGCTGAGTTCAGTGGCAAGATACAGATTTTTCTGCCAGCCTTTACTGTTCTTACTGTGACTCTGCAAGCAACTGCCTAGGCTTAGAGAAATCATAGTGGAAGACACTTAGGCATGGACTGATGAACAGAGATGAAATAAATGAGTTCTTCCTTCTTAAGAGAACACTAACTTTAATTTTATGAAATGTGCAGAACTGTCCCCTCTCAGTGTGTGACTGTGCATGGTTATAATTCTTCTGGCTGTGGTACACAAGATATCACCATCCAGCTAATTCACATCTGTTGCTTTCAAAACAAAGTCTTTGTAGTGTTTGTAATAAATATTAAAAGTTTTCAAGGGGCAACAAAAGGAATTTCAGTGAGTTGTCCCTGGAGTCACTAGTTGTTCACAACTGTCAGCAGTGCAGGAGCCCCAGCCTGACTTACTTTGAACCTGCTGCTGGATGCCTTTGGCTCCTTAAACATGTAGCAGCCGACAAAGCCGCGTGCTCCTAACCAGCTCAGCATCCCCCAAGCACAGTAACCCACCCACCCCTGGGCAGGGGAGAGCCCAGCAAAAGCACCGGAAAACCTGAATTTCAGTTGCTCTGAAATGTCAGCTCGTGTTGCAGAGCAACAGCCTTGCCACGCGCTGCAAAGTGCGGGCTCAGGTGTAGACCGTTCACCTCATGGAGTCCTTCCCATGCTCTGGCTTTCTGAGTATGTGGGGAAGTGACCTGGGCTTTGCAGCATTGGATCAGCGTACAAAGAAATCACTGTCTCTCTCTGTGTTTTTTTGCAGATGGACCATGCCTCGGTGTGCTCGGAGTCTGAGATGGAGTCTTCCAGCGAGGCAGAGATGAGCAGCGACTTCCAGTCTCTTCTCAGCTGGGATTCAAGCCTGGATCTGGATGTGAGGAGCTGGAGGAATACTGCCATGGGGAAGCTAGAGGAGAGCAGCCAAGAGACAGACCAGGAGCTGGAGTTCAGTGAGGCTCTCTGGGAGGATGGCAGTGAAGACTACCAAAAGGCAGAGAGGCCACGTGAAGACGACAGCTTTCTCCAGTTATTCTCAGAGGTAGGGCTGTTTGGATGACAGGAAAGCAGGTGGCATAGTTCAGGCCCTTGTGAAACGTGAGGGTTTTCAGAGCTTCCACCATCCCTACACACAGAAGCACTCTGGGGGAGGAGCAGATGCCCTGAGTTCCCTTCTCCCTGTCCAGAGCCCTTCCTCCCATTTCAGGCTGGCACTGCAGCCAGGCAGCTGCTTTGGCAAAACACACTCACCCTAAAGCACTGAGATGTCAGTGAACTGACACTGCAATAACAACACAGGGCTTCATCAGAAGATTTTGCGAGGATTTCTAAAAATGGAAAGGCGTTCGTGAGTGAAAGCAAAAATAGCATCTGTGCTGCTTATTTCTTCTTCCTTTTGCTTTCACTATTTGAAGTGATAAATCTCTGTGTTGCAGGTAACCCAGATGATGGAACATCTCCACATTAGCAGCACAGAGCCATCACAGACTCACTGGGATTATTTTGGCTCTGGGAAGCAGGGTGATGGGGAAGATGTGAGGTGCCAGGGAAAGACCACAGGAATAGCACTCTCAGGAGCAGAGGAAAGTCAACTACATATCCTGGCAGAAGATGAGAAGGACCAATTTCTGGGAAGAAGAGAGGTAAAGGAGAGGTGATCCTAAGAGAGCCTCTGGTCCTGGATGAGAGACAAGAGACAGCAAAGGAAATCAGCTCTAGGAGAGATGAGGAAGTCCCGGGTTCCAGGTGGGGAGACAGGGACAGAGAGGAAGAGACAGCAGGGAGGGGAATGCAGAAGAAATGTGTGAGGAGAAGGATGTTTTTTATGGCTGGATATATGTCTTTATGAACAGGAAGCTTGTTACAGATCAAACCCTCAGATGTGAGTTGGAGGAATTGCTCCTTGGCAGTGTAAAGGTGACTCATGAGAGCTGGCAATCTGCTCTTAGGTTTA